CTCGACCCCAACTTTGTCGAGCCTGCTGAGATCACTCAGAAGGTCGTCCAGGGTATCCACGCTGGTATCACCACTGTCGAACTTGACGTAAGTGTCGTAGTTGCCTCTCGACCCAGGATCTTACATTTTTCCAGAATTTGGCTGCCGAAACCGCCGCCTATCTCACCACAAAGCACCCGGATTATGCTATCCTTGCTGCCCGAATCGCCATATCCAACCTTCACAAGGAGACCAAGAAGGTCTTCTCTGCCGTTGTGCACGACCTTTACTCTTGGGTCAACCCCAAGACTGGCAAGCACGCCCCTATGATTGCCGAGGACGTCTACCAGACTGTCATGGACAACAAGGAGGCTCTTGACTCTGCCATCATCTTTGACCGAGACTTTGCCTACAACTACTTTGGTTTCAAGACTCTGGAGCGATCTTACTTGCTCAGGATCAACGGCAAGATCGTGGAGCGACCTCAGCACATGATCATGCGTGTCGCTGTTGGTATTCACGGTGCTAACATTGAAAAAGTCATTGAGACTTATAACCTCATGTCTGAGAGGTACTTTACCCACGCTTCCCCTACTGTGAGTCATTTTTAATCCACGGTGACCTTTGTTGACATTGTGCAGCTTTTCAACTCTGGTACGCCCCACGCCCAGATGTCTTCTTGTTTCCTTGTTGCCATGAGGGACGACTCTATCGAGGGTATCTACGACACTCTCAAGACCTGTGCGCAGATCTCCAAGACCGCCGGTGGTATCGGTCTCCACATCCACAACATTCGAGCCAAGGGCTCTTACATTGCTGGTACCAACGGTTACTCTAACGGTATCGTTCCCATGCTTCGAGCCTACGATGCCACTGCTCGTTACGTCGACCAGGGTGGTAACAAACGTCCCGGTGCCTTTGCCATCTACCTCGAGCCTTGGCACGCCGACGTCTTTGATTTCCTTGACTTGAGGAAGAACCACGGTAAGGAGGAAGTCCGTGCTCGTGACCTCTTCTATGCCCTCTGGATCCCCGATCTCTTTATGAAGCGAGTCGAGTCTGACGGCGACTGGACCCTCATGTGCCCCGCCGAATGCCCCGGGCTTGCCGATGTCTACGGCGACGAATTTGAGGCCCTCTACACGAGCTACGAAAAGGCGGGCAAGGGCAAGAAGACTATCAAGGCCCAGAAGCTCTGGTTCTCCATCATGGAGGCTCAGACCGAGACTGGTAACCCTTACATGTGCTACAAGGACGCCGCCAACTCCAAGTCCAACCAGAAGCACCTCGGTGTCATCAAGTCTTCCAACCTCTGTACCGAGATCATGGAGTACTCTGCTCCTGATGAGGTCGCCGTCTGTAACCTCGCTTCTCTTGCCCTTCCCGCGTTTGTCGATCTCGAGCACCGAGTCTACGACTTCAAGAAGCTCCACGAGATCACCAAGGTCGTCACCAAGAACTTGGACCAGGTCATCACTCGTAACTACTACCCCGTCCCTGAGGCTCGTAACTCCAACATGCGCCACCGACCTGTCGGTCTCGGTGTCCAGGGTCTTGCCGATGCCTTCATGGCCCTTCGTCTGCCTTTCGACTCTCCCGAGGCTAGACTCCTCAACATCCAGATCTTCGAGACCATCTACCACGCTGCTCTCGAGGCTTCTTGCGAGATGGCTCGAGACCAGGGTCGATACGAGTCTTACGAGGGCTCCCCCATCTCTCAGGGTATTCTCCAATACGACATGTGGGGAAAGGAGCCTACCGAGCTCTGGAACTGGGTTGAGCTCAAGGCCAAGATTGCCGAGCACGGTGTCCGAAACTCCCTTCTCGTTGCTCCTATGCCTACTGCCTCTACTTCTCAGATCTTGGGTTGGAACGAATGGTGAGTCGCCTTCACATCTACTAGCTGTATAATACTGACAAAAGTCTAGCTTCGAGCCTTACACCTCTATGCTCTACGCCCGACGAGTCCTCTCTGGTGATTTCCAGGTCGTCTGCCCCTGGTTGCTGCGAGACCTCATCAACCTCGGTCTCTGGGACGAAAACATGAAGCAGAACATCATTGCTGCTGGTGGTTCCATCCAGAACATTCCCACCATTCCCGACGACTTGAAGAGGATCTACCGAACCGTCTGGGAGATTTCTCAAAAGTCTGTCATTGATCTCGCCGCCGACCGAGGTGCCTTCATCGATCAATCTCAGTCTTTGAACATACACCTGTCCAACCCCTCCTTCCCCCAGCTCACTTCGATGCACTTCTACGGTTGGAAGCGAGGGCTCAAGACTGGTTCTTATTACCTCCGAACTCAGCCTTCCGCCCAGGCTATCCAGTTCACTGTCGATGCCTCCACTTTGAAGGCTGCCAAGGAGCAGAAGAACAAGCCCACTATCGCTGCTTCCCCTGCTCCCAGCTCTGCCGCCGACGCTATTGTCGCTCCCATGAGGCAGGTGAGCATTGCCACCACTGCTTCCAGACTCCCCACCCCTGCGCCCGAGGAGCAATCCCGAGACAGGAGTCCCGAGCCCAGCGAGGAGGAGGAGCTCACGTATGAGGAGGCCAAAAAGAGGGCCGAAGAAAGGGCCGAGGCCGCGTTGCAGTGTAGCATTGACAACAAGGATGCTTGTGTCATGTGCTCTGGATAAGGACGTTCGCGGGTCGTGCGAGAGAGGCGGGGAATGGGTGGCAGGCGCTTAATAGAGGCTTGATTGCACATTGTGTTGTACCGTGTTTTATGTCTATGTTCTATACCTTGTTTTTGGCTCTTATCTTCTATATACTTTTCAGCCTAGTCTTATGATGCAACATACAGTATATTACGCAGATTATGGGCTGCATGACATCTGTTCTCGTTCCACGTGTTTATCGGTGACAGCATTTCACTTGTCATTCCAAAAATCGTACTTCCTCAGGGCAATCTCCCATCCCATTATCGTCGTAACATATGTACCACAATCAGTGGACCGATTAATACCGATTAATTATTGCATTGCAGCTTGAGAGGATCAGCAAAAGCCCAAACTATCTCCACACTTCTACAATAGGCAGGACAGCCCTGTATTAACCGCTACCCACAACACCAGCACTCTATTCCACTCTATGGCCAGTGTTCCATCCGAACCAGAATGATCGTATGACGACACGACGCTTCCGTTGGCACCCGCAAACTCGACCCCCAAATCGTTCAGCGCTCCAGTGCGGCTCTCTTTCCCACTCTCGTCGAATAGCGTATCAAGCGTATTGACATCTTGCTGCACCATCATATCAGGCGTCAATAAGACCTCCTCGCGGGACAGTAACGACAGCTCACCATATCGTACATTGCCCCAAACCAGAACCATCTCTCGACCCAGCTGACGCTCTTCATATAGGCAGTCGTGACGTCCATAAATCTCTGGATCTCGATGTAGGTCGCTTGGTCATCGTAGAGACCTGTCGTGGAGTTGTAGACCGAAAAGTTCTGAGGTGCGTATTCTATCGACCAGGTCAACACTTGCGCAAAGCCCACTCAGGCAGGATGACTCACCGGTAACCCATATGGGAAGGTCGTATTCGTTATGGTAGTGCTGGATGTGCTCGATAAAGTCTTGAGCCACTGGGTCGTACTACATGAGTGGTTAAATGTTTGCAGCCAAAAAAGGGTGTACACTCACCCAATGGACTGCTGTAAAGTCTGGATTACAGCCACCATTGCAAGCAGAATACCAATCGATCATCCATTGCTTCCCGGTGTCCCCGCCCGTCACAGCCGGACTCCCGAGCCTATACCCCTTCTCTTTGAGTGGCTCCAGTACATCGACCCATACCTGAGCTGCCTGAGAGGGAGTGCATTCAGCTTGTCCAGCATGGTCAGGCTCGTTGAACCCCAAAATGTCGCGTGAGGGCGTAAGGGTCACATTGGAAAAGTTGCCCGCCAATTGCTCGAGAAAGGCGTCGGTCTCGGATTGCGATGTACAGCCCCACAGCATGGGCACAAAGCTGAAAGGGACGTCATAGATGTCGGAGTCGTCGGCAGTGGGTACGACAGGGTTTGGGGACCAAGTATAGTACGATGAGATCTGTGTCCCAGAGCCTAATCGGGATTTCATCAGACCTTGCACTTTCAGAGGGAACTGGCATACCTGCGAAACCTGCCATTGGCACCCAGAGTCCACTTGACCAAGCCAGACCTGGCCCTCCAGAGTCATAGTTGAGGATATCTGTTGCGATAGAACTCTTCAGGGTAGCTAGGAGCCAGAGGAGCAGCATCCTCTGGGCGATTCTTCTTCAAGGCCTGGCTTGCGGATCGAGAGATGTTGACAGTTTTGAGTTTCGTGCCGCATGGTGCTCGCTGGTGTACGAGGCGATGAAAGTCTGCTGCGATTATCGCTCGAGACAAAAAGATTGTGAACGCGCTTCAAGTTTCAAGCCTTGTTTGCCGTGTGTGGCCACACACCCTCCACTTTCAACAACACGCGGCGATCACCGACAGTGGGATATCTGTTGTAGGTTCTTTTGCGACGATACCTGTACACTTGGGACCTACAGGAGATCCGAATGGCTCGAGTCCTGATAATACTGGAAATTTTCCAAGCCATCAATGATCAACATTGTTCGAAGAGGGCGCGCCATGGTGGCAGGCTGGTCAAGTGGGTGGATCGATCGCGTCTGCGCCGAGTACCCGATCATATACGGTCCTCAATGCGCCTCATGGCTCCGATATCGGTGGACTTGCTGCATACTATAGGCCCTCCTGTGACCAGTCTCAAGCACATAGCCACATCACGAGCGGGCCACCATGTCCATCGATCAAGGGCGGCGCCCGAGATCATCGCACCATCAACGAAAGGTTCCCACAAAGCGACATTTCCCAACCCTCCCTTTGATCCCGTTCCTCCCTCAATTGCTCTTTGCCAGTCCCCCGGGGCAACAATAGATGACAGCCTGTCCTTTCAAAGTGATCCGGCTTGCCCTTTGCATCACGCCCCCTCGTCGGGTGCTTCTTTTCTTCGCTTTTGATGCTGCTTGCGTATGGTATGTGGATGAGTGTCAGAGCCTGTAGTGGCGAGATGAAGGCCGAGGGGTATAAGAGCGGCCACCTTAGCTGATGAGTTTAACTTCTCAGACCTGCGGTCTTTGAAAAGCGTCTACACCAGCCCTCATTTATTCACGATTGCTCTGCTAGTATTATATCGATTACCATCATGGCTCCCACTGTCTCTCACATCGCCGAGGTTGATGCCAGCAAGCTTGACTGTAAGCATATATATCTCTTTGCCCGAATCGACTCGAGCTCACACCATATCAGCTTTGTCCCCCAGCCAACGGTCCACCGCACACTCACAATGGCTCAACATTCTCTCCGCCCGCCTCTCTGCTTTGCAATCTGCTCACAACACAGTGGCAAGGTCATCCACCGAAGACTCAAGCTCGGATGATCGCCTGCCAGTCTTCGGCCCGGGCACTCGCGCACTTCCGGGGTCGTCGAAATACGAGCTTCCTACTGAATCCGACATCCTCTGGCTACTCGTCACGCTTGGGCTTCTGCCCCCGCCTCGGTAGAAAGGCGGGATGGAAGCTTCGAGGACGTCATGGTCTCGTGGACTTGGGGCACCGTTCTTGGTCCAACTCTAATAGGCTGCACCCGCTTTCCTAATCCTAATCACTCACCGCCAACACCGTCGAGCATTATATTCCTCTCGGGAAAGCGACTCGTACAGGCTTGGGCGTACTACTGAATGTTTATGCACAGAAGAAGCTGACTCGGTGCTCCTCGGCACTCGAGACAGAGCACTCTCGGCCGGACCAGCATGAGTGCTTGGCGGCGACGCGTCGCACTGAACGGTGTCTCTCAACTTCAATGTGGCAATGGTAAAGCGGGTCCTCACGACATGATGAGTTGGATGCTTGATTAAGATGCTTCGTATAGCAATCCCATATTACGAATGCATACACAATGCTGAACCGTCATCTTTGCTGCTCACTCTCGACGGCTTTCAAAACTTGTCTGCAAATCTCTTCTGCAAACTCTCCGCCATCTCCACAACGGTATCCTCGAATGTCTTGTATTCAACACCCAGAACCTTTGTGGCCTTTGCTCCATTGAACACGTTGGAGTCCTTGACAATCTCGTCGTGAGTTCCAGGCTTGCCCACTGGAATATTGGGCAGGTCAGGGAAGCGTTTGTGCAAGACATCCACGTAGTCTTGTCCGGCAAATGGACCAGCGCCAACAATGAATCTGTTGCCTCCGGCTTCAGAGACGGTAAGAGCTCGAACGTGGGCAAGGGCGACTGTATAATGTGTCAGCATTGAACACAAGTACTGAATCAATGAGCGCACCGTCTTTCACGTCAACCCAATTGGCGCCGGGAGCTGGGAGGTCAGACTCGGACTTTTTGCCGGTGAGCCATTCCCAAAAGAAATCTGCAAAGCGTCAGAGCAGTTTTCTTGACGGG